AGTTAGTTAAGCTAAAGTTTTGTCCATTTTATATTTTAATCAACCCTTAATTTGTTTTTGTATTCTCTATTTCATTTATTTTTGCTCTAATCGTTATTATTTATCTCCTTATGCTAACTTTGGTCTTAGTTCTATATTTTCTAGTTCCTTGAAGTGTAAAGCTGGGTTGTTTATTTGAAATCATTTTTTTAAATGTAGGCATTTATTGCTATAAACTTCCCTCTTAGTACTGCTTTGCAGCATCTCCTAAGTTTTGGTATGTTGTTATTTAGTTTTCATTTGTCTCCGGATATTTTCTAAGGTCTTTTTGATTTCTTCTTAGATGCACTGGTTGTTCAGGAGTGTGTTCTTTAATTTCCATATATTTATGAGTTTTCTAGCTTTCTCTCTGCTATTTTTAATTTCATTCCCTTGTGGAAAAGATACATGGTATAATTTCAGTCATTTTGAATTTCTTAAGGTTTGGTTTTTGACCCACATGTGATCTATTCTGGAGACTGTTCCATGTCCACTTGAGAAGAATGTACAGTCTGCTGCTATTGAGTAGAATGTTCTGTTTATGTCTGTTAGGTCCATTTGGTCTTTAGTGTTGTTCAAGCCCACTGTATGCTTATTGATATTTCAGTCTGGATGCTGTATCCATTACTGGAAGTGGTATAGCAAGTCTCCTGCTATTGTATTGTTATGTATTTCATCCTTCGGTTCTGTAAATATTTGCCTTATATATAGGTGCTCTGATGTTGGGGACATATATATTTATAACTGTTCTGTTTTCCTGGATGAATTTCCCCTTTTATCTTTATATAAGGACCTTCTTTATCTCTCGTAACAGTTTTAACATCTATTTTAAGTATAACCACCCTTATTCTCATTTAGTTTATCATTTACATATAATATCTTTTCCTTTCCTTTCACTTTAAGCTCATGTGTGTCCTTAACTCCAAAATGAGTCTCTTATAGATGGGATATAATTGAATCTTTTCGTTCTGTTGTTTTTGTTTTGGTTTGGTTTGGTTTCTTTTCTTTTTTTTTTTTTTTTTTTTTTTTTTTTTTTTTTTTTAATGGACATATCATTTATTTATTTTTTTTTTTTTACAAATAGTTTATTGTCAAATTAGTTTCTACATAACACTCAGTGCTCATCCCCAAAGTGCCCTCCTCCATGCCCATCCCCCCTCCCCCCCACATCCATCAGTCCTCAGTTTTTGTCAGCATTCAAGAGTCTCTCATGGTTTGCCTCTCTCCCTTTCCCCCACCATTTCCGCCCTTCTTCTCCCCCTTGTTCCTCCATCAAGTTCCTCCTAATCCTCCTATACGTGCAAACATATGATATTTGTCCTTCTCTGCCTGACTTATTTCGCTCAGCATAACACCCTCAAGGTCCATCCATGTTGCTACATATGGCCAGATTTCATTGTTTCTCATTGCCATGTAGTATTCCATGGTATAGATAAACCACATCTTCTTGATCCATTCATCTGTTGATGGACACTTAGGCTCTTTCCATGTTTTAGCTATTGTGGAGAGTGCTCTGTTTAGCATTCTTTCACTTCAACTTGAAGAATAGCATTTCTTATAGGGCAGATCTAGTGATGATGAACTCCCTTTGCTCTTGTTTGGGAAAGATTTATATCTCTCTTTCATTTTTGAAGGACAGTTTTGACAAGTATAGCATTCTTTCAGCACTTTGCATATACCATCCTATTCCCTTTTTCTGCTGAGAAATCTGCTGTTGGTCTCATGAGGGTTCCCTGGTATGTGACAAGTTGGCTTTCTTTTGCTTTTTCCAAAATTCTCCATGAGGGTGTTCTCATCACACACAAAACTTTTAGGTACCTAATCAGCATGACGTTTTCTAAATTCAAAGGGACAAGATAAATTAGAATGCACTTTTATGTAGAGCCCTGTTCTTCAGTCTCTCTTGCTCATCCTTCCAAATAGCATTCATCAACTTCTTTCCCTCTTTCTAAGGTGTATGTCAGTGTAATGTCTTTATTAAACAATTGCCTCACAAAAATATTAAAACACTCTATTTTATTTTTCACAATTTGATTATATGTAATCCAATGACAATTTGGATTACTTTGAATTCAGCATATTTATATTTTGTTGGACTTCCTGGATCTGGATGGCCATTTCCTTCCCCAGATGTAGAAAGTTTTCAACCACTATTTCTTTGAACAAGATTTCTGCCCTCTTTCTCTTTGTCCCTTCCTTCTAGAACTCCCATAATGCATATACTGATATGTTTTATGGCATCCCACGTGTTCTTTAAGCTTTCTTTCTTTGGTATTTTTCATTCTTTTTGTTTTTTGCTCTCTGAAAGGATAATTTCCAGTGATTGGTCTTTAAGTTTTCTGACACTTTTTTCTGTTTTTGAGCTTCTCTAGTGAATTCTTCATTTTAGTTATTGTATTCTTCAGCTTCATCATTCCTGTTTGGTAATTTTAAATATTGCCTATCTCTTTTGAAGTTGCCACTTTACCCATTCATTGTTCTGATCTTGTAGATGATCTTTATCATAGTTATCTTAAATTTTCTATCAGGTAAATCTTATATCTCCATTTCATTAGAATCAGTTTCTGGAGACTTATCTGATAATTTTGTTTCGGATACATTTCCTTATTTCTTTATTTTCCTTGATTTTTTGTGTTGGTTTCTGGGCATTAGACAGAACAGCCACTGCTCCTAGTCTTCAAATAATTTAGGAAGATATTCTAAAGTATTCATGACACCATGCCAAAGCTGCTGCTACTTCCTACCCAAGGGCAAGAAACCTAAAACTATGGTAGATCTTGTTTGGCTAGATCTCTCACTCAGGCATTTGTACCAAAAGATGATTTCCTTGGCTTCTTCTCTAGCACAATACTGGGCAGTGATCCATTCATCTTAGAAGACTTTTATACCTGAGTGGACATTTTAAGCCTGCCTAAAATGTCTTCTGCCTAAAATATCCTGAGTGGACATTTAAGCCTGCCTCCCCGCTTCATAGTTCCATTTGGAGCCTTGGCTAGTTCCCGCTCCCAATTATTACCATGTCTACACAGTGGCCAACACCAAGAAACTTTGTCTTTGTGAGTAACATACTCTGAGCATCATAAACATTCAAAGTTTCTATTCTCTACTAAACTCAGTTCAATCTTATCCCATCAGTACTCTGTAGTCATAGATGGGTCCTACTTCCACCCATGATGCAGCTTTCTTCTGTAGTCATCAAATATTGTATTCCCAACCTCGCCTTCTGCCCTACTTGTCTCCTTTCAATTCTCCATTTTCTAGGCACTCTCAGTCCTTGTACCTTGCCTCCCAACCTCCCAACCTGCTAGACCTACTAGAGTCATTTTTAGCCATTCAGACACAGGTCATTTCTACCTTCTTATTGATGCTAACTCTGATTTTCTTCAACTATAGTCTAGGTTTCTCCATCTTTGATCCCAAAGTACTTTGATCCTAATTATGGTACTCACTTACTTATATAAAGGTATGTAGACACCAAAAAACATAAATCAGTGTTATTTACCTAGCAGTTCTTCAAATGTAAATGCTAGATTTATTTGGATTATTTCATGTTTTTCTTACACTATGTAAAAGATGATTTGGAAACACTGTGTTTGAGTGAGCTATGTTCAGCACCTAACCTACTAAGTGTCTTGGGCAAATTATCATATATCTATTGCTTCATCTGTAAAAAGGCATTATTTACCTACTTCTGAGGTTATTGTGAATATTAGATAAAATGATGAATGCAAAGTATTTAGCATATGAGTGCTCAATACATTTTCATCATTTGAAACATTTACCAGTGTGCCTGGCACACAATCAGCAATCATTCATCTGCGTCTAATATTAGTCAATGTGTAATTACCATTTAAGACAGTGACTATATTTTCATACTTCTCACAATGCTTAGAGAAGTCACTTACATAAGTTAGGTCTTTAATTAATTTGGTTTAAATACATTAATCAGAAAATATTTTTGTCACTTTGAGGTATGGAAGAAGTTCTAAAACAAGATGGGAAAAGTGATTATTAGAGAAAAAGATGAACTGTATTAAGAGTTTCTGTTTACTGAAAGGTACCCTAAAGACTGAAAAGATGAGCCACAAACTGGATATGATATCCTCAGTAAATATAACTAAGTTAATATAACTGAGAAAATGGGTTAGTGTTCAGAATTTACTGAAAAGAAAATACTCCTACAAATTACTAAGTAGAAGACAAATAACCCAGTAGAAAAACATGGGCAAAATTCATAAAGTGGCAATTTACAAAAAGAAAACAAGAATGGACAGAAACAAAAGGCACTCAACTCTATGGTAATCAGGAATAAGCAAAGAAAAACTACAATGAAATCGTATTTTATACCATTATCTAGGCAAAATTTTAAATCTTCCAATACCAAAGTGAAAATATGGAATAATGGAAACTCAAATGGACTTCTAGCATAAGCAGAAATTGAGTAGCCACTTAAAAAGAAATAACTTGGTACCTATCCATATATATCCAAATAACTTGGCACCTATCCATAACAACATGGATGGATATAGCTGTTTCCTCTGGTGAACAGGAGGATAGAATTGGGGAGGTACACACAGGTAATTTCAATTATATTGTCCTTAGTTTTATATCATAAGTTGTATGATGGGTTCATGGATATTTATATTTTTTGACTTAAGTGATTGCATAAATTGTTTTTGGATATATCAAATATTATATAATGAGAGATTTTAAAAATGAAAGATTTGGTGAGGGTAGTTGAGATTTTGTATTTTTAATTATTTATTATAATTATTTATTTATTATATATTATATTTATATATGATAAATTATATATAAATATATTATATTATTATATATTATAATTATTTATTATAATTAAAAATAAAATATGAATTACAAAACCTCACTGTGGATATGACCCACATGACAGGTAAAATTTTAAAGCACATTTATTTTCTTCTGGATCATCTTGTCCCACTATTTCAAAACAGAAAGTCGAGATGTTCTTTTTGACTGTGAATCCCAAAATGGCTAGAAATATGAACTTTTCATAGATGGCATTCTTTCCATTTGATGTAGCATATCAGAAATGAGCTTTTTATGAGATTTCTCCAATATTCTCGAAAATAAATCAAACAGAAGAGTAATCCAAGCAAGACCAAAAGTACACCAAAGTATTATTATTGCTGGGTAAATTTTTGAGTAGTTCTGAGAAGGATATATACCTAAAGGCAAAAAGTAAATCACAGTTAAATCATTGGAACATGACTTTTACTTCTGATCTTTTCTCCCTCATGAACTATATCACATTAGTCAAACCCCATGAAACTGTCTACATTTAGAGTCTAATTGCTGATTATTAAAGATCAACTGGAAATAAGAAGTAACACTTCTGAAATGAATATCATACTCAATGTGACCATATATACATTTGTCTTTTCAGTGTTACTTTTCTAAATAAAGGACTAACAGATTATTCCATTTCTGTGACCTAGTGATCAATAAACAAAACTCCAGATATCCATACATGTTCCTTCTGGGAAATGAATTAAAAATTGGTTAACATTGGGGCACCTGGGTGGCTCAGTTGGCTAAGTATCCAACTTTCAGCTCAGGTCATGATCTCCCAGTCTGTGAGTTTGAACCCTGCATCTGGCTTTGTGTTGACAGCTCAGAGCCTGGAGCCTGCTTCAGATTTTGTGTCTCCCCCTCTCTCTGTCCCTCCCCCACTCATGCTCTGTCTCTGTCTCTTTCTCTCTCTCTCTAAAATAATCATTTAAAAAAAGAAATTGGTTAACATTAGAACTAAAGGGGTTTTATAAGTATTCTTCCAGGACTGTCAGTTGTTTCTCACTCTCAGACTGCTTAATTTATACCACTTGAAGACTCACCTCTTCCTTGATGACATCATAGGATTATACATTGAACTCAAGTATGGCTTATTGGAACTTAGATTGTAATTGTCTATTTATATGTCTAAATCTACTCCAACGTGTGCTCCTTATAGACAGGAGCAAAGTTTTAGTCATGGATAATTCCTCAGCACACTGCACTTAAGACCTTCACGTGGAAAAAAAAAATCAACTAGTTCAAAGTTTCCTTCACCCCAGCTATTTTATATTAGACCAAATTGAATCCTATGGCCAAGTAGCTTGTCCAAGTTGATACAGCTAGATTGTGGTAGAACATACATCAATGTTCTGCTTCTTGCCTTTGTCCTTATTTATAATACTGATTCTTCTTTATAAATGTGAGGCATATATTATGTATGCAAAGTGGAGTGGTATGCCTATGCTCTTTGGGCTAACTTTTTAAAAATATGTTAATAGTGAGAATAATGCTTGATATGTCTTAATTTGAGGCAGAGATGAGCCAAGAACAATGGTAGTTTCCCAAAATATATAGCCTGGAGACTTGCTTTGTTCCTTTAAAGGATTTATAAATACAAAAAGGCTTTATAAAAACAATCTTACAAAATACACTTTTAATGTTACTGTTGAATTTTAGGTGTGTATGTAAATACTTAGTGTCTGGGGGTATTGATTTCCTCCTTATAGAGTATATTTATTCTAAGGTGAAAGTAGGTTTATCTACTGGAAAAGACAGCAAGTGCATGTTGTGTGGTATTTCTTTTGTACTGGTGTTTTCATTACACATGGATTTTGTATACCTGTAAGAGCAACTGATGACATGTTTTAAAAGGAACCCCTCTGTCCCATTTTCCAATAATTGGTGTACTCTATGGATGGCCTCAACAAAGGAGAAAGTTGGATGGAATTATTACTTTAGATTCTTTCATGGATTGTCAGATGATTAGAGTTTGTAAAAAGTTTTGGCCTTTATCCTAGCTCCTATAGTTAAACTCTGTGTTTCTGGCTATACTTTTACCTTAAATCTTATTAATTCTGTATCTATGAATGCTAATACAATTTCAAGATTCCATTGACTTACCTAGTACATAGTCACCAAACCCAATGGTACTTAAAGAGATAAATGCAAAATACCGTCCTTCTTTGTAAGTCCAGCCCTCTGTATGCGTGAAAAATAATGGTGGTATCAGGCTGAAAATGACAAGTCCAGTTACCAAAAAAAAAAAGAAGAGTGTGTAGATTTTAATTTTTCTCTGAAAAAAAAAGAAGAAGAAAAATAACTAAGGCAATGGGGAAGGAAGGAGGAGAGGGATAAGAAGGAGAGAGGCAGTTAAGGAGGAAAAAAAGAGGGATGATTATAATTTACACATCAAATTATAAGAGAAAATAAATGAATTTTCTCATCTTAAGATTGGATATTCCATTTACAGCCTATACCATGTTAATCAATTAAATTTTTTATGATCTAATTCAAGTTCATTCAATAAGCATTTATTAAGTTTTTTTCTATTAGTACCATGAGAAATACTCAAGATACAAAGTAAAACTGAGACAGTGTGTCCACCCAGAGATTATAGTTTTGTGGGACAAGAGAAGAGACAGATAAGTAAACTGATACTAGAAAAAACATGTTTTAGATTTTCACTTATAAAGTACTTCATATAGGACAGATACTGCTAAAGGTTATACATGCCTTTTGATTTATTACTGTAAAGGGACATCTTGTCAATATTTACTTAAATTTTAGTATTTTAGTGTTTAGTATTTTATATAATATGTTTATTGCAATGATTACATTGCATTGTGAGATTTGCAGTACTTTTTAAATTTGTGGGAATATGGAGCTGATGTAATAAAATTCTTACATGTTTCATTTTCTTTAGAAATTTGAAAACAGAGACTCATTATCGACTTTAGAGATGTTCAAGCCTATATAAGCCACCCATAGAAGATTAGGGCAGAATTAGAGGAAAGTGAAAGAACTAGATAGCTAAATTTTAGTACATATTTTGGGACTGTTAAGGAACTTTGAAAACAAGAGATTAGTATTCAGGATTTCATTTTCTAAGGTAACTTCCTTTTGTTTAACTTTGTATGACAGTGGCAAATGCAGGGTATGCTATGTCATTGATATAGTTGTATTTGGGTCATGCTATTATCTGGTGCCCCTCAGTGACTTTCTCTGATGAGTTTCTTTAGACACGTCCATATGCATGTAAATAAGATACAGCCTTTGCCTCCTTAGGCTTTGGAAGGCAACATCAAGGGATCTTGAGTTTCTGAAATGGACACATTTTTGATACCAGACATAATTACAATTGTTGATAACATGGTCCTGGAAGGGGGTGGGGGTGGAACAGGCAAAATCTTTTCAGATGCTGTATGATCTCTTTCCTTGAAGGGGCAAAAAATTTCTCTTGTTGAACTATTTCACAGAGAATTTTTGGTCCCTAAGCAATGCTCAAAGTTCTTGCTTGTCTCTCTGTTCACCTCCAAGAAAGAATTGCTGGTAGGAATGGGTAAAGTAGAAGAGCATTCATTGACTGCTGTTGCACAGTAGGTGGCCAAATAATCTCCAAGGGGTTTCTTTCTCTGGACTCCACTTCCTTAAGACTGGAGAAATAACCACCAGCTCGGACCCACTCTTACTCAGCACTGCGCTGTCCTAATAAGGCCTGAGACAGCTGGCTTAGAGCAGGCGTGTTTAGACATCAAGCTCTCCTTTCAAGGATCGCTCATAAGCCAGTGGATATGAGTCCAGAGAGGAAGGGAAAGGAGCATCCTGCCTCAGTTGTCTACTTTAAATGGATTAGTTAGGCTGAAGGGACCATCACTAAGGTGCAGCCCGGGTCACAGGAAACCTGATCCAAATCTTGCTGGCAATAAGAGCAAACATTTGTCTGTCTTTATCTTCTCTGCATATCTCTTTCTGGGATACCTCCAGCACCAGGAATGGGCTGTCCTCTCACATCATCTCTCTCTATCCCACTTGGCCCCAACTTAACACAAATTGCCTAGCACTTTTCCCAACAGCTCTTCCAATGATATACTTTTGTAATCTATAACCTTAAATAATGTCTTGTGCTTAGCAGTATCAAGAAATGGACTAGGAGGCAAGGGAGCTCAGAATCAAAAGAACTGAATTCAAGAGGGTAAACTGTAGAAAATCTACATGTTAGGTTTTACCATACTTTGTAATCTATAACCTTAAATAATGTCTTGTGCTTAGCAGTATCAAGAAATGGGTTAGGAGGCAAGGGAGCTCAGAATCAAAAGAACTGAATTCAAGAGGATAAGCTCCTGTAGAAAATCTACATGTTAAGTTTTACCATACTTAGCTCATAAGGTGGTTCAGGGAATCAAAGAAAATCATGGTTATAAATATATGTATGTAAATCTATGTAGATGCATTATATAACATTCTACAAGTGTTCTTTGAAAGAATACTTATGTTTTCTGAAGAAGAAAAATAAAACCCTGTGGTTATTTTGGTCTGAATACCCTTTTCTTGATCTAGGAGTTCCATAAAAAATACAGCCAGGACAAGCATACTAAATACACATACAAACATACATATATACCTGCACATATATATACATATATAGATTTTTTAGCATGTGTTTAACAAGAATTTATTAAGTGTATGTACTTATTCTATGTAAAGTTATGAATCCAAACATATATAAGAAAATAAATCATTTAGTGAACATTACCTCTCTCATTCCCATGGTCTGAAGGTGTCTACTAAGTCCATAAAATGGCTTTAATATTGCATTACTCACAAACTTCAGGAATATAATAGTTAGAGGGATCCCCAAGAAAGCATAGAAGACACAGAATGCTTGACCCATAGGAGTTCTGGGAGCAACTGACGCATAACCCGATGGATGATAAAAAAACAAATTTATTATCTGCTCAATACTATTACTCCTTGGAACATGCACTTTTTGATGTGTTGTTATTAATGTTTTGTTGTGACATATAACTTTTAAAAGTATTATCCAGCCATTTTACATCCAGGAAGTTCTCCTAGGGAAATGATCAGAAAAGTGTATAAGAATATCACTAAAGCATTATTTGAGTAAATAATGGAAACCAACATAAATATCTAACATTAGAAGGGATATGCTGAGTAAAGTGGCCTAATAAAATACTGTCCAGTTTTTAAGAATTATATTGTGGAAGAATATTCAATGATATGTGAAATTAATCATATATTGCTGAACAAAAAAAAAAAGAGAGACTTTTTCTGGGGATTCTTCTATACCCTATTTATGGGATAACAAAAAGAAAAATGGAAAAATTTGCTGCTTTGCATATAGTCAAACTTGAATAAGTCAAACTTGCTACCAAATCTAATTTTAATCTATACATGTTAGTGTTTGGTGCCTATGTGTAGCACAAAATTTAACATAATTTCATTTCTGTAAGTTGTGGATTTGGGTTGCTTTTGTGAAATACATACACAGTTGATTACCTAAACAATTTTATTCCTTCTATGCCCATAGCTCTTAAGTTCAATTTTTATCTTATTTTATTATTTTTAACATTTATTCATTTTTGACAGAGGCAGAGCATCAGCAGGGAGAGAGGGAAGGAGACACAGAATCTGAAGCAGGCTCCAGGTCTTGAGCACAGAGCCCAACATGGGGCTCAAACCCACGAACCATGAGGTCATGACCTGATCCAAAGTCAGGCACTCAACTGACTGCGCCACCCAGGCACCCCTCAATTTTTATTTTCAATGATACAGAAGAATGGAATGCACTATCAACACACACACACACACACACACACACACACACACACACACATTCACACAGAGGTGGGGGAAGAATGCCATACCAAAATTTCACAGTTTTTCATGGAGTTCACACAAAAGCTCCTTTTGTTGCCTGTGGTGATATTTTAAACAGCCTGGCAATGTGAAAGTCATTGCAATATGAGGAGTTCATGCCCATTTAAAGTCATGCCTGAACTTCTATAAATTCATAGTTTGCCTTAACTCGTATTTGTTTAAAAGAATGTGTTTTAAGAGTAAAGGCAAAGTAGGCTTATTGACTGTTTCCAGGACTACAAAATAAGAAGTACCTCCATTCTTCAGGCAAGCTGGTACTTTGATTCCATCTCAACAACATGAAAATATGAGAACATTAAATGATGGAGAATGGTCAGATGGTTTCACCTCCCTTAACTCCCTGTTAAACAGAACCGGTCAATGAAGTTGAACTGCCTGAAGTTAGAATTATTCATTGACTGTGGCCCAGAGCTGGAGTGTGTTAGGGATCAGATGACAAAAGTCATGCCCACTGTTGGAGCAGGCTATGAAGATGCATACATGAGTTGTGTCTTCCACAATGTCAGCTTTACTTAATCATAAAGCAAGGCTAACATAATTGTAAAGCAGTTTCAGTATTCCAAACTCAATGGCATTTCACTATGCATTACTTTTGCTTCTTATGTATCACACAAAGCAGAGCATAAAACAAAGTCAAGGGGTAAGAAATTAATGAAGCAAATATGGACTTTGTGCATGAATGCACAGGTGGGATGAGGGCTCAGCCCAGCCTGGGTCTGCTCTCTGAACACACTGCTTATTATGTTCAAGCAGTGGAGGATCTCTCATGTTCAGGTATTAGTCAGGCAGGCCTTTCATCAGCAGCTGCCTTTTGATGCAGTCAGATATGGAAGGGTCAGCTTCTAGAAGTCCTCTCATTTTAGAGATGCTTAACCAGTCGTAGGGATTTACAGGCCTCTTCTGGTTCTGTTGTGTCATCAGCCTGTGCTGGTTTCAGCAATATCTCACCTTAGAGGCAATGCCCTTGGCCGCCTGTGTCCCTGCTTGACATGAGTGACTCCATCTTGCTCTCTACATCCACCAACCAGCTGGACTTGTGTGAGCACTGTGAAGTGGTCATTCAGACCCTGTTCTTATTATCCTTAGGGCAGAAACCATGGGTCATGGTGACATCCATTCCCAGCAGTCTGATCTCATGTGGGCCCCTAAAAGTCCAAGATTCTCTCAATTTTTTATTGAAATATAATAAGCAAGTAAGAACAGTTTCTAACAAATATTATTTTGCTGGGAGTTTGCAGGCATCACATTTTCCATAATGGTAAATATGCATCCTATTTTTAGTAAAGGAAATATATCTCAGCATGCCATACTGAGAATAACAGTCATCATTTATTAACCTTCTCTAGGCCTAGTCCCATGAGAAGGAAAATTCCACAGCAGTGCCCAAGGTCTCTGGCGGTCTAAACTGGTATTTCCTAGGAGTCTCCTCAGGGTCTCTGGCAATGTCTCTCTTTTTGTAAACCCTAATAGCTCTTCGTTGAAATGAAAATATTCTAGAATTGTCTAAAATTTAGCAGAAACCTATAGTAACTTTTTGTTTTAAAAATTACAAAATTCTCTAGCCAAGTTCAAGCTGCATTCCAGAGAAACGTGTAGACATCCTAGTTCTATCAGGAGTCCTGGAAAATCTGACTGGTTCTTGCTTTGCTACTTATCTCACTGGTATGTTGGAATACAAAATGGAAATGCCATTGCCAGGACCACCCACTAAAGAGAAAAGACATATCTGCTCTTGATTCCCTTGCTTTTGGGGATGTGTCAAGTAAGAAGTTGCTGCGGTGGAGGTCAAGGAGGTTGTTTCCTGCTTTCTCCTCTAGGGTGTTGATAGTTTCCTGTCTCACGTTCAGGTCCTTTATCCATTTTGAGTTGATTTTTGTGCATGGTGTGAGAAAATGATCTAGTTTCATTCTTCTGCATGTTGCTGTCC